CTAATAAATCCCAGAGAGTGGCCAGATCTCCGAAAGCTGGAAAAGGCAGTCTTCCTAATAGTCCACTTGCTGGCTCTGCCTTGTGCATGAATGCCTATAATCTTTAAACTTCTGTTTCAATTTCCAAATGTCATGAGATCTGAGCAGCTGCTTCCATGTGACCCAGGAGACCTAAAGTATTCATGGAAATCTCTGAAAGAGTTTGCTTTAAAGCTTCTCTTTAACCGACTTCTCCCTCTTAGGTTCAGACATGGCCTACTATTAACTCCCAGCATGTCTGGCTGCTGCATTTCAGGGCAGCAAGCAGAACGTTTTCTTGCTTAGGATCACAAAATGGGGTTAGCCTATAGAAAGGAACTCACAGGGCTGTGAGAGGATCAGTCTCTGCTAGGTACACATTCATTGCCTCTGCTGGCTGGCTTCCAGTGATTGCTTTAATACCACGGCCCTCTTATAAAGTCCTCTAAAAAGACTTTTCAGTAGTGACAGAGGAAAGTCCTAAAGGTCAAGGGGCATCTAGGCTCAACATAGCTGTTGATGAGTAGTGTTGGGAGCTACCTAGCTGCTTCTGAGCCTCAGAGTGGTGAATGGGAAAGACTGCATACCCATAGAGGTATGTAGTCATTCTGCAGAGCAGACAGGCTGGTTTGCTATGTACTAAGTCACCACCTTAAGAACACTGGGCTTCTCATCAAATATGCCACCATGTCCTTTTACTGTAAATGGAAACATGGCTTTTATTTTAAAAAGATTAAGATAAACTGAAATGAAGTCATTTGACACCAACTGTGCATATCTGCAAGTTGTAGTCACCCACTTCTTCCTGCACAGGGGCCATTTGGCTAGCTCAGAGCTGAGGTGCATTTGCCCTTATGGGCTTTCCTCTTATGCTATGGGAAGAGACAGTGACTACTGCCCTATTGGCCCTAGGATATGTATAGAAAAAGAGATTCTCTGAAATTCTTCACATTTCTGTTACCGATTTAAAAGAAAAAACCTCAGCCTGTTGAGATCTACCTTTTTTCAGGACTTAATTATCTTTTGATGCAATGAATTTTATAATCAGAATAAAAGTTTTTATTTCTATTGCATTATTTATTTGTGTGTGTGTGTGTGTGTGTGTGTGTGTGTGTGTGTGTGTGTACATGTCCACCATGATATGCATGTGGAAATCAGCAGACAGCTTGCAGGAATTGGTTCTCTCCTTCCACAGTGAGTCTTTGAGATCAAACTCAGGTCATCTCCACATATGTAACTGAGGATGGCTTTGAACTCCTAATACTCCTGTCTCTGCCTTCCAGCCACTGGGATTATAGGAATATGACACTACATCTGCCAAGATAAAGCATTTCTTGAGCACTGCTGCATGTGAGCCTGTGGGAGGTACTGGCTTGTATATTCCTGGCATACCAATTCTCCATGTACATGAGATGCAGTAAGAGACACATACTATTAATTCACATCTTCAGTGGCCTAGAGAAACCTAAGAGGAACAACTCTGCTAAAGGGAGGATAGAAGGACATCAGGGGCTGAGGGGACAATATGCCCCTACAAACATGGGGGAAGGCACGCCCAGTGTGTTCTTCATTTTCAGGGGAATCAAATAGAGCCGAGTCAGTTATTGAGTCTAGAAAATGCATTCCAGTGTAAAAATACTGTATGTATTGAACATTAAAGCCAGCGTGCATCCTTACAGCCATTTGGGCTTCTAAACAGCTGGGCCTGTAGCTGTGCCCACACTTCTGTTCTTACTGAAGGTGGCAGAATGTAGAGTGAGCCAGAATTCAGAGGCTTTCCGTGCTTGGTTCTGAGCACCATCCATTATCAGCTAGGGATACATGAGGGATAAAAGTCCTCCATAAAGGCCTTTCCCACCCACCCCAGCCTCTGATATAAATCCAAAAATAAGTTTATAAATCCTATCCCTGCTCCTGTCCAATCCCATAGTCCAAGGACATGTTTATGGACCTTTAAAAATTTAATATCTTAAAAGCTAGTTAAAGGAAAGTCTGTGGTTTATAGAGGTGATGGAGGTTGTATCATATCTTTCTTGGGAAAATTTGAAAGTTTATAGCAACACACCCGGGAGTGAACTTTGTTTCCTGTGTGCCTGTATCTTAAAGAGGGAAAATAAGTTTTTACTCTGGGACTATGGAAAACTGACCCAGTCCTTAAAAATATTTACTCAGAATGAGATTGCTGGGTTAATTTTTATAAGAAAGTCACAAAATTAAACCCTTAGTCTTTACATATTACTTAGTCTTCTCCATGTTTATTTCAAGAACCTAAAGCATTTAGCTGCCTCATGTAGAGATGTCTAGGAGAGGAAAATCTGCAAAAGTTAGTCAGGGAGGTGGAGTGAAATCTTCCATTGCAAGGGACATTGGCAGACAGAAGAAAGCCCACATGTACAGTGACTTGGTAAATGAGCTTTGCCATTGAAAAGCCATAATGTCTTACTTAAGGTTTTACTACTGTGAACAGACACCATGACCAAGGCAACTCTTAGAAAGAACACATTTAATTGGGACTGGCTTACAGGTTCAGAGGTTCAGTCCATTATCATCAAGGCAGGAACATGACAGCATCCAGGCAGCACGGTACAGCTGGAGCTGAGAGTTCTACATCTTTATCTGAAGGCTGCTAGCAGAATACTGGCTTCCAGGCAGCTAGGATGAGGGTCTTAAACCCCACACCCACAGTGACTGATCTACTCCAATAAGGCTACACCTTCTAATAGTGCCACTCGCTGGGCCAAGCATATACAAACCATCACACACAGGCAGCCTGTTGTTCTTTACAGAAAGGAGAGAGGTAGGGAAAGCCAGACGATGGGCACAGGGTCATCACTGAGGCTGGAGTACATCTTTTCACCTGAGAGTTGAGCTTCCTAGTCCATCCTTCTGACCAGGGAGCATCTGTACAGTCAGAAGTGAGATGCACTCATGAAGCCACAGCAGCTGCACACAATCTACACAAAATTAAGGCAGTCAGTGTTCAAGTATAGAGTGGGAGGGGTTTGTGAGACCACCCCTAATTGAGGAACTAGGGACAAGTTATGGTTTCTAGTGCAGAGACAGTCAGCTTTCCTTACAGGTGTAGTTCCTGGTGAAATTGTGCACACTCCACTGGATGGCTCCACAGAAGTATATGGGCAGCACAAATTATAGTTGATAGGCTATTAAAAAAGAGGAGGGGGCATGAAGTTTGGAGGGGTAGGCAGATGGGGTAGAGTAGAGAAGAGTTAAAGAGAAGAATTTAGGTGTGTATTGTATGAAATTTCCAAATCATTTATCAGAAGAAGAAGAAGAGGAGGAGGAGGAGGAGGAGGAGGAGGAGGAGGAGGAGGAAGGAGAAGGAGAAGGAGAAGGAGAAGGAGAAGGAGAAGGAGAAGGAGAAGGAGAAGGAGAAGGAGAAGGAGAAGGAGAAGGAGAAGGAGAAGAAGCGGAGAGATGTAGAAAGTTGTCAAGTTTGTCATTGATTTGTTAGGTACCATGTTCTCCAAAGTACAAGTTCTCATATTTTGAGGCGTTCATGAATATAATATTGGAGAAACAGACAAATACCAACATTGAGATGCATAAGTGAATCAAAGTGTAAGCCCAGCAGGACCCCCCTAGGCCTACCAAAGCACTAGAAATTAGTGAGCAATATGAGACCAGCTGCCTTGTTCTGATAAACCCTACCTGACTGACAATGTCACCTGGGTGGGGGTAGGTCTTGAGCACAATCTGCAGACTATATGGTGTCAATACGTAGTAGTCACCTCCCGATCTCAGATCATTCAAAACATGTCTAGTGCTCAATTTAAGCATAAGGTAAAGTCTAGTGAAGTAGCCTACAGTTGATGGTGGAGAGATGTTTGCTTCACTCTGGGCTCTGAGATGTCTTACATACTTTTCATTTTCAATACTTGAAAGCCGGTGAGAGGTAATTAATCATCAAATTATACAAACAGGTTAAACCAATGGAAAACCTTTGAGACCACACCCAGGGACCCCTCCTCCCCTTCCCCTGACCTGTGCCTACTGGGTCTGGGCAGGTTTCTCTGCCCTCCCTACCTCTTCTTATTAAGTAGTGGAATCCTGGAAGACTAGGAGCACTCCTATCGGACTCCTAAAGGAAGATTTTAAGTAGCAGAATAAAAGCAAGGAAGGAGCTGCACCATGTCCCAAAACGTCATCGCTCACACCAGGGCCCTGAGCCTTAGTCCTAATTTCTTTGAGTAGCTTTATAGTTTCAACTCCTAATTCTTTAATCCATTTGAGTTAATTTCTACATAGGTTATAAGATATTAATTATGTATGTTGTAATTTTGTTAATTTCTACATATGTTTTAAGGTGGGAGTCTAATTCATGCCTCCGGGTGTGAATATTTACTTTTCCTAATACCATTGATGGAAGAGATTCTCCCCATTGTGCATAATTGGTGTACAGACCTGGGTACACAGTGTCTTAGAGAAAGGCTGAGAGAGACATTCCTCTACTCTCTGCTGCTGCCATGGGTGTGTGTGGCTGCCAGTCTTCAGATGGTTCTGCGGTAGCCTTTGCCTTTCTAGCCCCACAGAGTGCCATCTATGGAAGCTCCTAGGAAACCTGACCTTTGAAGTAAAAAGATGGCTGAGTTCCCCCCCCCCCCCCCCCCCCCCCCCAGTTTGATGGGTTCATTGGACATTTGAGAGTGGCTGGTAAAAGATTCTGAAGGATCATAACTACTTTTACTCTGGAAGGGACAAATGAGGCCATGTCAGGTTCTAAGTCCAGAATTGGAACATTTGCCTCTGGCACCTGTCTTCAGGTGATGACGATTGCTTCAGAACTGGGGTAACATAGGTGCTATTTCTAGAGTACCTGTGCATTGAGAGATCTTGAATATTTCCACCTCTTTCCTTCTCTGGCTGCCTAGGTTTTTGACCACCTTGTGCATCCTCAGCCATAAGGACCTGTTGTGTCCTTGTGGAATCTCTGCATCCATTACTCTTTCCTTCTTCCTTCCCAGAGTCAAGCTATGAGAATCGTACGGACAGTTGGACAGGCCTTCGAGGTCTGCCACAAGCTGAGTCTACAGCACACACAGCAGAATGCAGACGGCCAGGAAGATGGGGAGAGCGAGAGAAACAGCGATGGCTCAGGAGACCCAGGTAGGCACCATGGCCACAGATGGAGAGAACCCAGGATGGAAGGGTAGACCACCCCCCCTCGAGAGCCAGCCTATTAAGTTACCTAAAAACTAATTCTAATAATTTCACCATTACATCATTCATGTTTCTTTCTTTTGTTCTCTTTTTGTTTATTTTAGCTTTGTGACAAGTTCTTACTGTGTAGCACAAACTGACCGTAAGTGTGGACTCCTCATGCCTCAGCTTCCTGCACAATAGATGCCGTTAATGTGTTCCAATAACAACTAGTCAGAAATAATATCCACTGTAACTTCTTCTACAGAAAAAAGTTGACAGTTTAACAAAAGTAAAGTATTTAGGAGTAGATTACACATTCTTCTTGAAAAATGGAAGACTATAGCATAGTATTGAGTGGAAACCCTGAACATTAGAAACATGAATTCTGTGTTTTACATGGCAAAGATTTCTAACAGCAAAGGGGACATCATGGTAACCTTTGGTACTCACATACTACATTATTCAAAAAGCCTATGAAGTATAGTTAAAATGACATCCTGGATATCAGATAAATTAAACACGAATTAAGCCAAAAAGTTAGAAAACAGAGGAGACAGAGGCATGAGAATCATGAGTTCAAGGCCAACTTTTTTATATAGACTCTATCTCAAAAACAAGTTAGAAAAATCACAAAAATAAATCTTATACTTAAATAGCTATTTCCTGGTTGAACAGACAGACTCTTGGTTTGCATTGTAGATACCAAGCTACATGGAGTAGCATTTAGTCATGGGTAATGTTCTACTCAGCTTTAATATAAGTATTTGCTTCTGAAAAACAGCTCATCATGTGTGCCTCAGAGGCACATGAGCTGATATATTTGAAAAGGCCAAGTCTGATACTTGGTATGTAGGAAGCACTAGACATGTATGTGTTAGCTCACGTTGTTTGGGCACAAATGTGTGAAAAATTTTAAAACGGGTAGAAGTTTTCTGGAAAAAGCAAATAATAGAGGACTGGTTTATTTATAATAATAAATATTTATTTATTATTATAAATAAATATTCATATATATGTGTATCCAGGTAAAGCTGTGCTGATATTAAGCAACTAAACAGCTCAAAACAGGACTTCAGAGCCACATGTGCTGATTTATTGCAGAATCTCTGGGGAGAATAATGTGGAAATACTATGAAACTTGGAAATTTACATGGTGTTTGACTCTTAAATTGTCCTCATAGTGTCTCTAAGAATGTATTCTAAAGATAGACCTGTACATGTGAAGTGATGAACATTCCGTATGGTTATATAAGTGAAGAATCAGTTATAAAACCAAAGGGTTATAAAAGGCATTTTTTTTTGAGGCAGAGTCTCACTATGTAGCCTTGGGTATCCTGGAACTTGCTATATAGACCAGGTTGGCCCCAGACTTACAAAGATCCTCCTGCCCCTCTCTGCCTCCCTTCGTCCTTGCCCCTGCTCTCGTGATTAAAGGTATGCACCACCATGCCTAGCTATGAAATCACTCTTAAATACAAAAAGAAGGCTATTACATGGTGGTTAAAAAAGAATGAACCCATTAATGTGAACTGATTGAAAGCCATCTTAAGGTATTTTGTTTGTTTTAAAAAATCAAGTTCTTGAACTGTGGCTATACTTGCTACCAGTTACATTTTATTATAAGTACGTAGGAATACTCATCTGTACATATGGGAGTATACATGTATGTTTCATCTGTGTGCACATACAAGTCTGCTATGCATAGAATCTTTACAGCATGGTACACAAGAAAGTGGAAACATGGATCATTCTGTAAAAGGAGCGGGGTGTCTGAGGTGGCCAGGAGATCTGCTCCCCACTGCACTTACAACTTTTCTACCCTGGACATATTAGACATAAATTAGGAAAACTGGCATTTCATCTAGTGCTGTTTCTATGTGACACCAGGGAGTCACCTTGCTTCTTCCTTGACTCACTGATTTGTACCAACTGAGGGTGCCCGCTGGCTAACATGAGCATCACAGTGATCTTGGCTAATAAAAATGATCACCAGACAGAGTCTTGTGTCTTCCTGTATGTGCTGGACCACATGTGGCTTAGGATGGACCATGATAATAATGAAAATTTAAATTTCAAACCTTTCCAGCTCTGTGCTCTGAGACCTAGGGCTTGGACTCCCAGGCAGACTTTGGCAAACACTTCCCATGCATGTGTAGCTATGAATAGAAAGTACAATAGAGAGAGTTCCTGGCCTCTCTTGGATTCTCTGTGAGACCTATGTCTGACCACTTTGCTCAGAGAATGGAATCTGGCCGCTCACTTCTGTACTATAGGGTGCTGTAGACTGCTAGCTGTCTGTCAGCATTCCTTTTGTATATGACTGTGGAGGTGTGGGGTGCACATGTGTGTGCACGTGCTCTGTGTATATGTGTGGAGGCCAGAGGACAATCTTGGGTGTCATTCACTTTTTCTTGTTGTTGTGTTTTGAGACAAGTTCTCTCACTCGGGTAGACCTCATCACCTAGGCTGTGATGCTGGCCAGCAAGCCCCCAGGATCTCCCCTTTTCCCTCCCAAATGTCGGGGTTACAAGTGCATACCCACCATGTCTGGCTTTCTTCCACATGGATTCTGGGCATCAAACTCTAATTTTCCAAGCACCATGTAGACTGAACCATAACCCAAACCTTTATTAACACTTCTCTGCCAGTGCCCTGCTACCTTGTTAGGGGAGAATGGCAGCCTAAGTCTCACAAGTTCTCGAACTCACACTCGAGTTGGCAGCTGGAATACACGTACACGAAGAGATTCTAACCAGAAAGTAGTGGACACTGTCACTGGTAAAACCGTTTACTCCAAGAGTGGTGGGTGGTGCCTAGAAGCTGAGTGTTTGAAGACCGTTATCATCACAGACATCCTGTCTGAAGTGGTGGCTGTAATTCCCGAGTAGCTAATCACCTCTGTCCCTCAGCTGCTAGCCAAGAAGGTCAGGCTGGCCTGAGCTGGCATGTTGGTGAGAGCTGCCTATAGGTCTTATTTTGTGCAGGAGGAATGGTGTTTTCCCTCCACTGGCAGCTCCTGCAGCCATCTGCTGGATGAGTTGATGTGATTTCCCAGCATGCTGAGGAGATGACTCTGGGCAATCCATGGTGTTCCCAAAGGAATCACTTCCTAGTCTTTGCTTCCAGTCTTATTCGCCAGCCCCCTGCCAGGTACCCCAAACCCCTTCCTCCCTGCTCTGAGTTTTTCAGCCATTGTTAATGCTGTGCCCTCTGCCAAGCAGCCAAGTGATCCCTTCATCAGACTTCCTCCTCATCCTGTACACTCTCTCTTTCTTCTCTTCTGGTGTGCTCTCCAGCTCCTCTTCTCCCAGTCTCTCCCCTTCCCCATTCAGAAACTCAAACATATTGTTTCCTGCTGTGTTCCTGGGTCCTCATCACTCCCAGATGATGCTGTTGACATTGACATTCCACGTGCCAGGTGGAGAACGCCCTCCTATCTGTAACGGGCTGTGAGCCTCGAGAGCATAGGGACCTGCTAGCAAGTGATTACTTGTTGAATAAACTGACAGTCAGTGCGTGTGGCCAATGACAGCATTCCTTTAGCCACTGTCACCAGTCATTATAAAATGCTTACTCTGTACGAAGATGAACGTGGAAAAGAAGAGATTTCATCTGGAGTGACTTCTAAGCCACCTCCTTGATTGGGAAGGATGACACTTGGACTGGGAGAATTAATAGAGTTGAGGTGACAAACATAGTGGAGGAGCACAGAAAGCTGAGTGAGTGTTGTTGGCAACACAGTGATGGCGGTGGTGGCTACAGAGGAGTCCAGCATGGTTGCTCTCTTTTGGCTGTAGTAAGAGTCACTAACCTTCCACCCACCCTCCAGTCATGGTGGGCACCACTACCCCCGTTCTGTTACCTTTTTGGTGTGTGTGTGTGTGTGTGTGTGTGTGTGTGTGTGTGTGTGTTGTGTGTGTGTTTAAAGACAGGGTCTCTTTGTCTATCCTAGAACTTTCTATGTACACCAGGCTGGCTTCAAACTCGCAGAGATCCTCCTGCCTCTGTTTCCCGAGTGCTATAGGATTAAAGGCATGCACCACCACACCAGGCCTGGCCTGTTGCCTTTTTAGAGATGACTTTCTTAGCTCACATTAATATACATGAGATGTCAGCTGCTTGGCATTTTCATATGCCTTAAAAGAGGGTGTGATTATGTAATTGGTGTTCCACAGGTTGTATCCAGCCCAGAATGCTGGTTGATTTTTATCATCTTGACATAAACTAGAGTCACCTAGGAAGAGACAACTTCAGTTGAGAAATTACCTGTATCAGATTGCGTGGTGGGGCATTTTCTTGATTTTCTTGAGTAATGATTGATGTGGGAAGGCTCGGTCCACTGTGTAAGTGCCACCCTTGTGCAGGTAGTATTTGGTTTTATAAGAAAGTAGGCTGCCAAGCAGCGATGGTGCACACCTTTAATCCCAGCACTTGGGAGACAGAGGCAGGTAGATCTCTGAGTTCAAGGCTAGCCTGGTTGACAAAGAGAATTCCAGGAGAGCCAGGGCTACACAGAGAAACCTTGTCTCAAACAAACAAACAAAAAACTGAGCAAGACAGTAAGCAGAACCTCCTCCATGGTTCTGCTTCTGCTTGAGTTCCTGTCTTGACTTCCCTCAGTGATGGATGGTGACCGAGGTGTATAAGGGAAACAAACCCTGCCTTCCCTAAATTGCCTTTGGTCCTGATGTTTGTCCCAGCAGTAGAAAGCAAACAAATATGCCCAGCATGCTTTCTTCAAGGCAAGGTTTAAGATGCCAAATATTCATCAACTATGTCTTTTCAGGGTCATTCAAGTGTGAATTGGTGCACTCTTAAGTCACGATGGCTTCTCTGTGTGTGGAAGGGAGGCACCTGCTAGGTGGATGTGGCCTTAGAGTGACTTGAGAGGGAAAGCATGCATGACATGTCATTTGTGTGTTTCTATTACTATGTGTATGAGTGTATGTTGTGTGACTTCTCCTGTACAGACAGGAACAAATGTTTATTTAGCCCAGAAAGGGCCCTGACAGCAAAGAACGATTACACCCAAGTCTGGGCTTTAAAGCTGCATCACCACGGAGACCACCCCAGTTTCACTGAGGACTCTTCTCTCCCCAATAACTAAATATAGATTGAAATAGCTCCACAGAACTCTCTTTCTTCCTTCCCATCTCTGTGTCTGTGTTTAATGGGAAGTTCATTTTAAATAATTGTTTCTCATGACTAGGAGCCTGGTAAATTGCATGTTGAAGTCCCAGGGAAGGTTGCATTTGAGTGTGAAGGCCGTCTGCTAATGGATCCCCTCTTCTTCATGGAGATGAATTAGTCTTTGTTTAGTTTGAACCCCCATCTGATCAGATGAGTCTATCCACATATAGGCATCTACTTGATGTGTTGTCTACTGATTTAAATATTAATTGCAACTAAAACAGGAATCTAGAGCAACCTCTAGAGTGATGTTTGGCACATGCCTGCATTCTGGCGGCTTGACCCTTTAGCACCGACCATTGGCTGCTACAGAAATAAGGAGGCAGTGAGGTGCTAAGAGGCCACTGACATACATGGCGGCGGTTCAGCTTTGATCCTGGCCCTACCTTCCTTGCCTACGTAGGAGCTCCAGCAAACCGCAAACTGTTAGATGTTGGTTCTCCTCTCAAACACTGAGACAATGTAGGCAAAATGAATGTAGGGCCCGGTAGGCTCAGAACACCAGCAGTATGACTAGCAGTGTGAGCTGAGTGACTGAGTTCGATCATGAAGCTGGGATTACTTCAGGTGTCAGCAGCTGGTATCATTTGGATCTGGGGTTGGAACCCTTTCTTCTTCAGGAAGGCTGCTCACTGCCTTCTCCTGATCACTTCCTTTATACCTCCAACGCACCTTCTTCGTGTGTAAAAACTGCAGGCAACATGTTTTTTCGTTTCCCATCTGCTTTCCTCAGAAGGATTTTCCAATGAAGGTCCAGAGGAAAATGGGTAGTTTCCTGTAGGAATCCAACTTCTGTGTTTGGGAGCCTTTCAATGAATGTAGTGTTTATCTTTCCAGTGGAGCCCTGCCTGTGGTGGATGGCAGGCCCGTTATTGTACAGAGGAAACTTATTTACACTTGGAGATTGGAAAGGGCAAGGCTGGAGACTCCCCTGGCTTCTTGATGTCAGTGCTTTCTCTTTCTGGATTCATCGAGGATTTTAGTGCTGTTATTCACTGGCACCCCTGTCTCTTCTCCCCTTCCCTGCTCTGTGCCTGTCTTTCTTCTTTCCCTCCTTCTTCTGCTCCCTATGCAGTGGGGGAGGTATATCTTTTGAATCTTTTGGCAGCAGCTGCCCTTGGCTATCCCTGAGGATCAGCGCAAGATGGGGCCACTGCTTTCAAGTCTTTATTGCCTGTTTGTGTAGCATACCTACCCACTTTCAGAATCCTCCTGGAGAAGGTTTCCTGGGAGAGATCTCGTTTCCTTGGAGGTATGCCTTCTCCTATGTAGCAACTGTCCAGCATGTGTGTGGGGACTGGGAGGCCTTTGGTAGGGCTTATTGAAAATAAAACCTGCTGGGGTCCAGCACAAGAGCTCAGCAGGTAAAGCTGCTGCCAAGGCTGGCAACCTCAGTTTGATCCTTGGAACCCACATTGCTGGGGAGAAACAATTCATGCCAGTTATTGCCTGACCCACACAGGTGCACACTGGCACATCCTCATCCAAACACATACACACAAGTGAATAAATAAATGCAATAAAAATAAGTAAATAAAAAGCTGTGGCATGGTGACATGCACTTGGAATCCTAGCATTCAAGGAGGCTGACACAGGAAGAGTTTAAGGCCAGCTTCGAAAAACCAAAAATATATACACATATATATACAAATATAATTCCTGCATGTGTTTGGCAAGAATGCCTATTCTACTCTGAGCAAATGAGTATGTATGTTAGTAGCCACCTCTCACGTCCTAAGTTAGAGCTCCAGGCTACCTACCTGGTATACCTGCGACCTGTGTCCCTTCACCTTCTACCGTCTCTCATCTTCACCCGTGGAAATGGCCATTGTATTCTCTATTTCTGTCTGTCCAACTTCATTTTTAAACAGGTGTTTCCATTCTTTTCCCCTTGTCTCTGCAATCTGCTTTCAACATCCCCTGCAGACCCTTCTACCTCCTCCTTAAGTGCTGAAGTTTCTCCCGGATGGAGTCCCTGGGTTCTTTTCAGACATAACTGTGCTCGTGGCAGATGTCTGTCTACAGGTTGAACCTTTCTCCATCTCTCCATCCGTATGCTTAGTCCAGCTAGTCCTGAGCTCCGTGTCTCCTAGTTTAGAGATCAGAACTGGTGCCTTAGCAGGCTGCAGTCAGGACCAACTGTGTTTATACCTCTGGGGGGTCGGGGTGGGGGGGAGTCTGGTGGGGACATTGCCTCAACTCCCAGAAGAAAACCAAGCACGCTATCGACTTGTAAATACTAGGCTTATTTCCCCAGATGACTGGGCACATTTGCATAGGAAGTATTTACAGCCTTGTTGGGTAAAAGGACACTTTCACATCCTAGTGGGGGAAAAAAAAAACAATCCCTGAGTACAAAAACCTACCAGTCCCTGAGCATTAAATCCCACCAATCCCTGGGCTTGGATTTAAACCTCTCCAATGCCCACCCTGGAAAACTCCACCCTCAAGAAGCCCTATAAAAAGCCTGCCTCCTGCTCAGTTCCCTGTGGCTTCTCACCCTGGCAGAGGCAGCCACCACCCTCCTGTCGCTCAAATAGACCTCTTGTGTGAGGTTCGTACATTGTGACATTGTGGTATTCCTTGGTTCCTGGTTGTCAGGACATCTTTCACATCAGAGCTGTAACACACAGTTGTTCTGCAAGACAGATACATGCCTCACACCTGGTTGTCTGGGCTACCCCAACATTAGGGATTTTTGTACTCTGTGCACCCTGCTGTCAACATCTTGCTCTGTGTTCCAGCTGCTGCTTGGTCTCTGAAAACTATTAGGGAATTGTATTTGAAGGCAACAGCGATGAACCTAGAGGACCATGGTGGCCTATGCCTGTAATCCCAGCACTCAAGAGACAGAGAAAGGAAGACAATCATAGGCTGGAGGCTAGCCTTGGCTAGCGAGCCCTATCTCAAAACAGCGAAACATGATGACAAACGTAATCCCAAATATAGGATAAGGAAATATTGTCTGCGGACCTGGGAAACTGCACCCTTAGCTGGGATGCAGTAAAGATAGCAGCCTCTTTCTTTTAGAATCTCTGCACCTTGCTGATAGATATGTACCAGGCATCCAGCTTGAGGAATGTTCATTTGTTTCTGGACTTTAGGATGATACTGAAGAGACGTATCATACTGGGTTGAAAAGGTGCATTCGTGTAACTCAAACGGAAGAGTGTGTGACATGTCAGCCCAGGGTGTGCCTCAGCTTGACTAACTGAGAACTAGCACAGTAAAGAGGTACAGTTGTTCCATGTGTCATGGTTCCCTTCCCTGTTGTCCCCACAGGCCGCCAGCTCACGGGAGCTGAGAGGGTCTCCACAGCCACTGCAGAGGAGACCGACATTGATGCTGTGGAGGTTCCGCTCCCTGGGAATGACATTCTAGAATTCAGCCGAGGTGTGACTGATCTGGACGCTGTAGGGAAAGACGAAGGCTCTCAAATAGACTCGACGGTAGGTGATCTTCATGTGTGGTCCGGGTGCCTCTGAGAGCAAGCTGGGTCATAGCTGTAGCTCTGGGCCATCAGTTGCCTCACAGCTCCTGCTGTGGCAGCTTCAGAGTGAGGTACTCTGTCACACAGTGGCAGTGCGGGAGCATATTTCATTGCCTCCTAGAGGGGTCTGACCTCCATGGACTCAGCATCCACTGATACAAGAGAGGGTGCTGTGGAGTTCACTTCTGAGGTGTGTTGCCCACCTGGGGAATCTCATCAATGTTGTGTCCCCTTTTCCTTATACATCGTGTATTTGTGCAGGGCTCATCCAGAAGATCAAAGTAATATAGGTAATCATGTGACTTAGCAAAAACAAACACACACCAGTCTGTTTGAGCCCTCACACCTTGTCTACTGGTTGTGTGCCTTCAAAATCCTTGGATAACAGCTCTGTTGGGTCTGGAAACTGGCTCACTGCATGTTAGAATCTGAGACCACAGTAAGGCAGGCCTCCTCACCCGCAGCCTAGCATTCTATAGGTGAGATGAGTAAAGTGTAGCAGGGCTTCTAAATATAACCCAGGAAACAAACCCCAAGAGCCTCCAGACTAAATTCGAACCTGAAGACAATTAGACTAAGAAAAATAAAAGCCAAAAGGAAAGTTCCTGACCAATGGCACAACCCTGGGGTTCCCAGGCCACACACTGGCACCATTTTTCATCCTCTGTCTCAGATTAGGCCAGCTCATGAGGAAACACCTGTGTAGTTTGGCCTGTAGTTCCTCCTGTTTCCTCTGATGCCCCATGACTTCGATACAAGGGGCAGGAGGCCTTTGTCCCCAGGTGCCTTCTTCCTAAGTGTCAGCAGAGCCACCAGAAACAGAGCATACCTCCCTCACATTGAACTCTGACTTACAGGAACCATCTGGGTGAAGGTGTCCACCAGGAGAGAGACAGCAGCTGTGGTCACCTAACTCCCAGAGGTCCTGCTGGGTCCTTTGTTGTGATATCCAAATGTTCGTACCTCACTGTGAAAAGAGGTGGGAGAGGAAAGAGCATCTGACCCCAGAAGAGGAAGCAAAGGACAGCGCAGAGAAGAACTGGGGCTATCTCCCTCTTTTTCTAATAGCGACACGATAGGTAGCTGTGTATGTAGACATAGATTCTAAAGCTAGAACCCCAATTCAAGGTATATAATTGGAAATAAAGGCTAAGAAATATTTTACTAGCTGCCTATCTCCCAAGTGTCACCAAAGTATGAAGATTAAATTTTCTGACTATGTGGTCCAAGTGAATGTGTGCCAGCATTTCCTCCCTGGGGCCATCCTTGTGTCATTCCAGATGGAACATCTCCAGTGTATGGGTCTTGCTCTGCCCATGAACCACTCATGAATATTATTACAGTGAGAGTGGGACCTCAGCGGTGGCTTCTGCCTATGAGCCATGTTCTGTCTTCTCTTCCCAGGTCCCACCCCATCCTCAGGAGCCCATGCTGACTGCCTCCCCTCGCATGCTACTCCCTTCTTCCTCGAAGCCACCAGGCTTGGGCACAGGGACGCCCCTGTCCACTCACCACCAGATGCAGCTCCTCCAGCAGCTCCTCCAGCAGCAGCAGCAGCAGACACAAGTGGCTGTGGCCCAGGTTCTCCTCAGCCTCCTCCCTTCTTCACAGGCTCCACTCTCATGGGCTTGATGCACCTTCCCTAGCAAGGGGCTCAGGGCAGGTTTAAAACCTAGGGAGCTCTAAGGAACTGCTCATGCTATTGGTTCATTGCTTGTTGGGGTTCCGGAAAGTGAAAGGGGAGGTGGGGGACAGATGGGGACTGCAGTTAAAATGGAAAAAAAAGAACCACATTGGTTCCCCATGTATCCCTCGCTCTGAATTAGGCTTGGCTGGCTTGGCTGAATGTTATTGGATAATGACTTGATCTTACCAAGGAGAAAGAGATGTACACAGCCCCTTCCTCCCTTCCCTGCCTTGTTTCCTTGTGTTTGGGGTGGGAAGGGATGCCCTTGGACATCCCTTAGGACAGGTTTGGTTATGATACAACTCTTAAAATGTCTCAGAGTATGAATTTGTGCCTGGCATCCTTGCACAAGACTGTTGCTCTGGCATCCCAAATACTCTTGACCATAATGGGTACTCAGGCCTTCATTAGTGATCCACGTATTCCACACAGTACTTGATTAGGAATTCATTATAATAGCAATGAACTTTTAGGAATTAGGTAGATGATCTGAGCCATGTGAGAAGGACTGGCTACCTCTTAGCATCAAGATGGAGTTTATGCCCTGAAGTCGGGTTAGACTGTAGCTGCTTTGTGGGAGGTTGGGCTGATTGCCCTTGCTGCTTTCAGAGGAGCCCTTCAGTTTGATTTTTACAGAGGGCACTGTACTTCATGCTTCCTTGGAATCCAGTAGGCTGAGCCTTCTCTCTATTATGGGCAAGTCAGGGATGGTGAAAAAACATGCACACATTCCATATAAAGGTTGGAGTCTGAAGCCAGAGCCAGGCAGGATCAGGACTTATGTGGGTAGGTGAAGGTGATCAGGAAGAGGGGATGGTTGGAGAGTTATCTGGGAAGGCCACTGTATGCACCAACCTTCTGAATCTGCTAGGCTTGACTGCATGCTTAGATTGCCCATGTTCCACAGTATAAAGAACAGGCTTCTCTCGGAAGAACTTACTGATCCTTCTTGTATGTTCTGCTTACTCTTCTCCTGGCTCCTGAGTGAAGCAAAGCCCCCTGACAGAGTGATTCTTTCCTCTGTACACTTTCAGGAAGCATCTGGCAGCCTATCCTTAATTAAACCTGCAATGGTGTGGCTTTAAAGAGCTCTCTTGTCATCTTGCCTTCGCTGACTCTATCCAAGGCACCAGCCTTGTGGGTCACTTTTTGCTCCACATTTCAGGAGACTTGGAATCAGTGGGATGCTGATCCAGGGTGCTATATATAGATAGAGCCTCAGAGGTGGGGTCAGGATGGGAAATCTGACTGAAACAAAAGGATATGCCATGCTGGTGGGAGGATTTACAGGTGTTTCCAGAACAGTGACAGAGAAAGGGGTTGTCACTAATGGCTTCTTATGTTTAGAGAAAAAAATCATTCTTTTTCAAATGAAAGAATCCATCTGTGGCTAATGACAGTGTGGCAGTCTGAGACTCTCCCCCTTGAGGTGGGGGATGATGAGAACAAGGCCTGAACATTTCAGCCCTGGCCCGTCCCAAGGCTCAGCAATTCCCAAAGTTTCCCATTGAATACCGATCCATTCTCCAAGCAGTTCTCTTTTGGCATACCAATTCTCAAGTAATTGTTATTTACCCAAGAGTTGGTCTGATGCATATTCATGCTGTTTTATTATCAGAGGGCATCTGAATTGGAAGTCAGCTCAGCTAAGTGCTAAAGGGAACCCAGTTGCAAGTGTCTACTCTGCACACAGTGTTGTGGCAGTGGAGGGAAGCACTCAGCCTGCAGTCAGTCAGACCCCTAACTTACCATAGGTCTGCTGCAGTCCGGACAAAACTCAGGAGTGGTTTTCTGGCATAGCAAGTATCTGTCTTAATAAAGCATCCATGCCCCTGCCCTATTGCCTAATTGCCTCTCTCCTAGAGGACAGTGAGTCTAAGAAGAGAGTACAATGTAGAGTTCCAGATTCATTTCACAAACATCAAAGCTCCAGATATTTTACCGGGGTGGTCAGCCCAAGCCTCTCATAAACTCAGAGTCTATTGGATCTAGTTGGCAGTGAGCTGCTGGACTCTCAGCTCAATCAGTAATGTGATGAAAGGCCACCATAGGGCATCAATGCCCTGTATTGACACAGTGACTTGGAGGAGAGTGGCAGGCTTCCAGAATCTTTCAAATTAGACTGAAAGTCATTGATGGCTTCTCAAACATAGTCCTCTGCCTGTCCTTGCTATCGTCCTTAGTTGGTCTCTGGCCACCTTCCTTCTGTCCGCCAGGGACACAGTAGGGAACAATTGGACCTCTCGGCTGACCCTTGGCTCCTTGGTCCTGCAGATGGGTTCAGTCCTAACCCAGCCTCTTCAATCTCTCTTTCTCCATAGCATCTGATCCAAGGCCTTTCTGTTATTGTCTCCATCCGTGGGTTACCTAAGATATGCAGGCCAGTTGATGACAGGTTATCCTGGCACCGTTTACACACCTGCAACAGACCAACTGTAGCAGGCTCGGTTCTTCTGCAAGACTGGTTAGTTTCTGGTGAAAAGTCAGCTTTACTTGTTGCATCAGACTACTGCTAGCAGACTGCAGGGTCTCTGTCTTTCACTGGACTCTCAGTAGTCTGAGAATTCAGTATGTCATCTCAGTGTTTCCGATAAGAGCTTAGTTTCCATTCTTCTGAGCTTCCAAGCCTCTGTGTAATACTTTTCAGTTTAAAATCTAAGGGTAAACCCCCCAATTTCATGCAGCTATGTGTGTTCTTAAAGTCGCTTGCTTCATTCTTTATGTCCCCAGTGCATTTGCTCTCACACACCAGTTTGATTTGGCTGTTGCCTTTATACCCATATTTAGTTCCTTTTGATGTCTTGACTTTTTCTAAGGCCTCGAAAGACCTCTTCCAGCCTCACCTCAATTCTTTCAGAGCTGATCTTGAACATGCCTTCCTTGGTCTTAAATGCAAAGGGTCCTTAAAGACTGTCTTAATCGACTCCTGAGTATTTCCAGGTCATTCTTCAGTGTGTAAATAGTGAATTACCCCAGTCCCTCGGAAGTTCTCCCAGCCCAGCATGCGGCTTGCCTGGCTGCATTTGATTTTCCGCTTTTACGATGGACCAGAAGTTCAAGGGTGTGGGTGAACATATAGCCACACCTTGAATCATACCTGGGATGTAGCTAGTGCCTGCATAGCTGCATGCTGGGCCTGCCTGGCTCCAGGATTGTGGCTGACTGACAGCGGTTAAGTGGGCCAGATCTGTTTATCATTTGTCAAGCCCTAGCCGAGCTCTTGGGAAAACAATAGAGAAGCTCATGGTTACTATTTAAAGAGCTCCTTTACTTGTTGCCACTTGTACTTATTTAGGAGCAAGTAATTTGTTATTTATGCTTTGTGCTTTGTGGTCCTGTGTGTGTGCCGTAGTTAGAGAAATAGTGCTGAAATGCTCTGCACCACCACCACCCCAGGCCCTCCATGTCTGCATCTATCCTTGTTGCTTCTCCCAGTCCCCAGCCCTGCCCAAGTCCCTGGCATATGCATGCTGAGACAGTGCTGCCTGCCTCTGCTTTCGTCTGGTATGAGGAGGGGGTGGGGGGTAGGGCGCAAATTGCTCTGGTTATCTCCACTGCCATTTCCATGTGCCTGCCACTCCCTAACTTCAGCCTGGCCCTGCCCCCACTTCTGATGGAGGAGCTGGAGTCCAGGCAAGTAGGCCGGAGAATGAATGACGGTGGTCTGAGGTGGCCGGGTGGGTTGAGGGTGAATGTCAGGGTTTGGGGAGTGGTGTAGAGTTGGTGGTATACATGTTGTTCTGGGATTGGGATACAAAGCGAGACACCAACACTGCGTGTGACTTAGTGCCACATTGCTGTGTCTGTGCTACCAGCTTAGTCTGAGTGGAATAGTCAATGCTCAAGGTAACATAAAAGCACTGTGGGCACTTTTGTGAAAAGATATTAAGTTCTTTGTCTATGACTGGGGTCAGAGAGGGCAGACAAGGTGGTACCTTCTGTTCCTGTCATAAATTGAGAAACAGAGACCAAACCAAGGGTAAAGCTAACACTACCTGATTTTGATACACCAACTCCACATAAACTCGGCCTCAGCGTTTGAAGAAGTCTAAGCTGTGTTGTTCTCTTGGCCTGGGATTAGTTCTACAGCTCAGAGCTCTGACCCTCATGCCTGATGCCACTTCTGATGGCTGCAGAAGCAGGTGGCTCATTAGTGCTGGCTTGGGCAGTGACAGCAATTTGTTGTTTCTGTGTTTATGGAGCTTAAAAATATCTGCAATGATACAGCTCTGCACTTGCAGAGGTAAGATCCTTATGCCATCTGGGACAAGAGGGCACTTACACTTTGGGGTGTTTGTTCATGGTACTTGATGTCAATGGGTTTTACCAGAAGCATAGTATTCGAGGGTAATCTCTCAGGTGTTGATAGTGCTCTGCCTTTGGAATTTGGACACCTGCCGAAGAAGCATCTCGCCTAATTTCTGCAAGAAGGAACAACTTTTTTCTTGCTGTTATTTTTCCTAATTCTTAGATGTCACTATGGGGATCTGAGGACTTTTCTCAGTGACCCTTTAGCAAGTGGTCCCTAGTGTTTACGACTGCCTATCTGAATGCAGGATCAACTGTCTCAGCCCCTAGTCAGACCTCTCCATTGACAATGGGGCAACTGAGGCCCAGAGAAAATTGCCTGTACTTGTCTCAGAAGTAAAGACTCCAACATTCCAGCTGCTAGTACCATACTTGCTTCCTAATGGTCTATTCTGTTGGGATGCTGCTACCCAAGGGTGTAACAGGTGTGTAGGGAGCTCACAACAGATGCTAATTAATGGTGTGAAGCCATGTTCCATATTTCTGTCTTACATTTCTATTTGATTCCAACGTAAGTAGAAAGTGAGAGATCTAATCGGTAGATGGTAGATTCCTTTTAAAGGTACTCTGATTTCATATAAGTAACAGTATTGGCCAGTAGAGTTTTAAGCTTGCCTGTCCTGTGCGGGGTACAGGTAGGGGTTTCCCACAGTCATGTCCCTGTTTCTTAGATTCAGTAGGATTTAGGGGAAATTTCTCCATGCCTCAGTTTCCAAGGAAGCTACAGATTTCATAGTCACCTGACATCGGAAACCTGGGCTACAAGGTTACTGACACATCTTTTCCTGGTCTCACCCTCTTCAGATCCCTCCTGTGAATATGGTAGGGCAAGGGAGGGGGGGCATCCTGATCAGGATAAGAGCTCTGTCCTCAGAAGTCCTTTATGGAGGACAAGTTTTCTTTAGATTCATTAGGCATCTTCTCCCTGGGGAGGGATGAGCCCAACCTTGAGAATCCACTAATGGAAAGTGGCAGTAAATCTCATTAGTGGCTCTGCTCAGTTCAAAGCAGAGCCAACTGCAAGGTCAGGGCTTAAGAACTGGACAGAGAAGGAAGTACCCACCATACCCGAATGCAATTTTCTTAGTACTGTGTCCTGAGAAGGCAGATGTGGAGGCCTAGAGATGCCTTGGTCAGCCTCAGCAGAATGTGAATTTCTACAGCATACTGCTTTTCAGAAATCAAGAGCATTTTGCCTGAAAAGGAGCCAGCGAATGCTTCCCCTCATCCGGCTTTCTCCTCCACCCTACATCCCACACACTCTGGTTCTTTGTCAATACCATGGTTTTAAGTCCAGGAAAACCATCTTCCCTGTAGTCTGACTTGCTTCCAGGTGAGCACTCTCATCCATTCCCTTTCTCCAGAGCCTTCTAAAATCCTCCTGATCTACTTCTGAGTACAAGAATCATGTTTGTGTGGTCACTGACCTTGTACCTATTTTCTTGAAGCCAGAGTTCTGGGTATAATTTCTCCCTCTCCTCCCACTGGTTTCACCTCCAAGGTGAAATGCACTAGGAATGGCCATGTAAACACCATTGCCTGTTGAGTGTGCCATGGCTGGTCCCCTGTACCACAAGGATCTGAATAAATGAGGTGCTCACTATAATAACCTCAGCCTTTATATGTGTCAGAAGAACACCTCTGTAAGTCACTCAATAAACATTAAACCCCTTCCGGGAAGGAATCAAGGCTCTATGGGTGTCTGCTGGGAATAAGAAGAGAATAGGAAGACAGAAAAACTGGTACGCAGACATAAGACAAGCTGTAATAGAACCAGCTCACTAAGCAGTATAGTTGTTCTTTCTGTGTCTTACTGCATTGATGTTCAGCAAACTGGAAGGAAAGATTATAAGATTATGCGTGGCAGGTGTGGGGAGATGTTGTGATGGTCTAGTTAATATGTTAGTTTTTGCATTTTATTTTTTAATTGATTTGAGACAGGGTCTTGTTAGGTGTTTCCGACTGGCCTGGAAGTTGCTGTGTAGACTAGGCTGGCCTCAAAATTGTCCTGGTTTCCAAGGACGAGGATTGCAGCAAGTATCCATCTTTCCCGGCTACTTTTGTTTTTTAAAAAAGATTATGGGTAAAGCTTGCTGTGATGCCACATGCCTGGCATCCTAGCACTGAGGAGGTAGAAAGAAGAAGATGACTGTAAGTTCAAAGCCAAACTGGTCTGTATAACCAGTAGCAGGCTAGCTAGGGCTCTATATTAAGAGCACTCATCTCAAATAAAATGAAGTTAGTTAGAAAAGGATGCTGTGTGGGACCTAAATGGCTTCTTAAAATAGAGATGGAGGGTAGTTTATCCACAGGAAGTGAGAATGTCATCACTATATCTTGCACTTGGCATGGGACCCAGGCATGGGACCCAGAACGGTGTCTGAGCGACAGACACATCATGGCCCTTGATGCACAGGGCTGTTGAGAGAGATCCACAGGGCTGTTGAGCCTGTCTTCTCTTGGCTATTTTTCCAAAATTACAAATCTAGGTACCAAATTTTCCATGCAGGGTTCCTTCATCTCGAATTGAATGTGGAAAGGGGTCCTGGCCATCCATTGGCAACTGTCATTTATATTAATGTCCCTTTCCTTTCTTTGTCCCTTCTCCTCTCTGTCTCGCTGCCTCCTCTTCTCTCCAGGTTCACTTGCTGAAGGATCAGTTGGCTGCTGAGGCTGCGGCACGGCTGGAGGCCCAGGCACGAGTGCACCAGCTCCTGCTGCAGAACAAAGACATGCTCCAACACATCTCTCTGCTGGTCAAGCAGGTGCAGGAGCTGGAGCTGAAGCTGTCAGGACAGAACACCAGTAAGCCAGGGTCCTGTCTAGCCTTGGTACCTGTGTCCAAGCTTCATAAAACAAGTTATTTCCATGAACCTGGGATGCTTTGCTTGGAGCCTTTATGGTGGCTTTATATTTCAGGAGAAAATAGTCAACATTGTTATTTGTCTTTACATCTCATGAATTATAGAACTGCAGAACCAGAGTACATCTTGGCTGCCTTCTATCAATTACTCAAACTTGACCTTGAAGGTCCCCCAGAGACACAACCACATTCATCTGCTCTCTCCTGGCAGGGAGCTTAGCCACTCTATATTCAAAAAAAGCCTATTTCTTCCTCAGAGGGATTTCCCAATGAACATGTACTGAGTCTATATGGTGCATCATGTTGTGAGCTCTCGGGGACCTACAAACTCCTCCGTAGCTGATTCTCTGCCCTATAAAGTTCACTCACTGTTCTGTTGCACAGAGAAATGTATATCCATGTAACCGATAAAGTAGCTGAGTAATTATAAACAGAGTGACAGTAACTAGACTGTACAGTCCCTAGTCTGAGATATTCTTTCTGCTTCTATACCAGATACCTCCAAGCTGGACTGGGAAGCAATAGGGAGTCTAGGTCCAGGCCTTCATCGTAAACTTACCTATTGGTAGTTCTGGGTATGCTTGAAGTCTGTCTTGACTGTGGTCTGACAAATCCCTGTTAGCTATTACAAAAATAATTGTGAGAATATTTTCTTTTTAATGTATAAGCTTGTTTATTCTCTGTAGTGGTAGATGCCCCTTGCACAACTGAGGAAATACACTCAGGGAGCTTTAATATGTAGCTCAGAGTCACACCGTGAGCAAACAGTGAATGAAGCCTAGACCCGTACTTAGTCATTGCAAATCTAATGTGTTTCTAGCTATCCTAGGAGTTCCCTCAAGCGACTCCCTTAGCTACTACACAGTCCAGCCCGTTGAGGTTCCTCAGCAGTAGTCAAAGACAGGACTGAGCATCTGAAAGGTATAGCTGGGAGCCACTGTGTGTAACCTAGTGTCTACGTTCCTCTCTGACAACGTTCCACTGTTACCCCTTACTTGGAGGAGGCTGGGTTGGTACCTCCCCTCAACCCCCAACACAAATCCACTCCAGGGCATTCAGTAGCCTTCCCAACTCTCTGCAAGCTGCTCTTCTGTACCCAGGTGCATCTGATGCTGCAGGATGAAGAGAAAGAGTACTGGGTTAATCTGTAAAAACCTCTGAGTGATGCTACAGTGTCAGTCAGGCAAAGACCCTTTCAGGAACTAGAGTTGTCATATCCAGGCCTTTCCACACTACAGGGATTAACAGATGAGCTCACATTTGAAGACTTGACTAACCCTGCCTCTCCTTGCCTTTTATTTTCCTGCAGTGGGCTCCCAGGACAGCTTGTTGGAGATCACCTTCCGTTCAGGTGCCCTGCCTGTGCTCTGTGAATCCACCACCCCTAAGCCAGAGGACCTTCACTCACCACTGCTGGGGGCTGGCTTGGCTGACTTTGCCAACTCAGCAGGCAGCCCCTTAGGTAGGCGTGACTGCTTGGTGAAGCTGGAGTGCTTTCGTTTCCTCCCATCTGAGGATACCCAGCCAGTGGTACAGGGTGAGCCGCTCCTAGGTGGCCTGGAGCTCATCAAGTTTCGAGAGTCAGGCATCGCCTCAGAGTATGAGTCCAACACAGATGAAAGCGAGGAGCGTGACTCATGGTCGCAGGAAGAACTGCCGCGCCTGCTCAATGTCCTACAGCGGCAGGAGTTGGGTGACAGTTTGGATGATGAGATCGCCGTGTAGGTGCTGGGCAAGGAGCTGGTGAAGGTGGCAGCATGATGCCAAGGGGGTCAAGTCTGCCTGTCCCTGGCTGGGGATGCCCAGGGAAAAGCGCTGCTAGGAATAACAACCAGGGCTGAGAGTGTAGGGTTTCAGAAGAGGGTTGGGATTTTGCTTTGGAAGGTAAATGGGGGGAAGAAATTGGATACCTAGAGACAGGAAATCAGCACCTGCATTCTGCTAATGACTGAATGGAATGGAGGCAGGGCTTTCCAGAACCCGGGGCCTTGGGATGGGTCGGTCTTCAGAACCACAGTTCTGGAAGGCCTGTTGCTCCCACTGTGATTGTCAGGTTCTACTCAATCTGGTCGCCATGTCTCAGTGACCTACACTCTGCTGTCTCTGTGGTGCAGACCATGAAAGGAAGCCATTGGTACCTTCTCGGGTACTTAGTTTTTGGATATCAGGATGCTACAAGTTGCCTAACCTCCCTTAAGCTGTAGAATTCCTTCCCCAGGCCATGGCTGAGTGTGTAGAGGTTGGATGATTCCCTGGGCTGCTGGGAAAGTGAGGCTCTGCCATTCAGTGAGTTTGGAGGTGACAGGAGTCACAAGTCACAGTGGATAAACCAGGAATTTACTCTAGCTGGGTGTTGGATGTTGCTTCTGAGGAACCTAGGAGTGTTAATAGGATTGAGGACCCTGCTGGGAGAGCCTAGGGGAGGGTTAGCCTAGGGAGGGTTAGCCTAGGGGAGGGTTAGCCTAGGGAGGGTTAGCCTAGGGGTGGTTAGCCTAGGGTGGTGCTGATGGTTGCTGCAGCTCATGTAGGTCTGATTCTTCAGTTTGGAAACCCTGCTCCAATCCATCTCCCGCCTGCATCCCAGCTCACATAAGTGAGGCTAAGAACTATCATAATACTCCCTTTTCTTGCCTCGGGCTGTGCCTGCCTGAGCTTTGGCAGTACTATGCCTTTGTGTAAGTCTCAGAGACCCAGAACCCCCTGCCTTACCTCTCTACCTGTCCCCTCCACTGTGCAATACTGGTCAGATTTTACTGAAAAAGAAGACAGAAAAAAGAAAGAAACAGACATAAGCTGATAGCGGAGATGGTCTCCCCTTCAGAATCACTGCCACTTAGATCAGATCAGGGACCACAGCTGTGCCACCCAAGCCTCCCTCTCTGTAGGTACGTGCCTTGAGCATAGAAGTTAAAAGTGCAACCTTAATCTCTTACCATTTAGGCCTTGCCTAGGGGTCTCCACTCAGTAATATGCTGGCTAGGCCCATGAGAAAAATTTCTTTTCCCCTGTAAGACATTAACTGGTTAATAGATTTTTTTTTCAGCCCCTGAAGAGAAAGCTGATACATGTTTAAAGTCATAAGATGTGGGGAGGAGGTCATGTCCATCCTGGACAAGCTGTGGGCCAAACTGCAGTGTTATCAGAGGGACAGTACGCAAGGATGGAGTTGCCCGAATGGAGTTCTTCAGCCCCAGCTTTGCTTTGAAATGTATCTAAATTCAAGCATGGCTCTTTTTATAGCCACAGTGGGGTTTCTTTTAAACTGAAGAGTTAAGTCGTTGAGTTAAAGGAAATTAACACAGCTTTACATTATCACTCCCTGGTGCATGGGGGTATCGATAATAATAGAACAGGATGATGTGTGTGTGTGTGTGTGTGTGTGTGTGTGTGTGTGTGTGTGTGTGTGTAGTATTAAACTAGGGTGGGGTGTGTGTGTGTGTGTGTGTGTGTGTGTGTCTAGTAATAGACTGGGTGGGGTGTGTGTGTGTTGGACATGCTTTTGGACTTTTGAAAAGTGACTAGAAAGATTCTCCAGGGTGTTCAGATAAACAGCAGAGTTGTATCCTTTTCCCACCTTGATTTTGTTGATGAGGTAGAATTCTGTTTGTTAATTTTCTAATTAACCATTGGAAGGAGGTCCATATGCATGAGGAAGGGAGAATTCCAGGTGTGAGGTCAACAATACTGAAGGGGCAAATGGCGGGATTCAAGATAGGCTGAGCTGAATTTACTCAATCCCAATCCAGGGATCCTGGATGTAGGCCTTTGTGTATCTGAGTGAGTGGGTGGTCTACTTCTTGTGAACGGGGGCTGAGAGTAAAATCAGAAACAAGTGGAAGTGTGTGGACTGTGGTTGGAAAGGGCTTTGTAGGATGCAGTGACGAAGTATGTGTGCAAGATGATGGTTTTTAAAACCCTGAAAAGGAAGGAATGGAAGAGATGGGAGAATTGGAGAGATGGCTAATGGACGATAGATGCTGTCTTACTCATGTAAGACTTTGCCTTTGGTTTCTGTCCTCTTTGATCCTCCCCTTCCCCTGATTAAAGACTTCCCTGGAGAATTCATTCATGTGCCATATCCTCCCCAGTAAGACTCATATCTGAACACACTTGGTATGCGGAGATGGAACACAAAGAACAGATCTAGGGGCCTTGTGGGGTCACCAGCCACCGACCCTCCATTTAGGCCAATGGACAGGACAGGGAATGTTGCAGACCTGATTCCCTGGCAGCAGCAGCCCTCCTTGCTTCTTGCTCTGCTAACTCTGCCTTCCTCCTTTCAACCTTCTACTCTGCCCTATATGGAGGACACATGGACACCAGGGGTTCCTTAGTGGTGCCCACCCCGGGTGCAAGAAAGCTCTCGGCCATACAAGGCTTCACAGTTGCAGAGGCAGGACAGATCTCTGCACAGGATGGACTGCACATGGGAACTGGAAACTGTATTCCTTACATTCCTGCTTCTACTGATGCTGTCTGTAAAAACCTTTCTGAGCCTCGCTCTCAGCTGACCTTGTTTACGGATTGTGTTCCTTTATTTACTCTTTGCTTGACTGCTCTCCCCTCTCCTCTCTCCTACCTACCCTAGCTTTCTGCTTCCTAAAACTGTTTTGTCATTAACTGTTGGGTCAGCTCTCTAGGAAACGGTTCTGTTGATGTAAGTGCACTTACCCTTGGATGTTGTCACTAGCTAGTGGCTTTTGCTAAATAAATCTTCCTTATTTCTAAAAGCTTTCCCATTGTCTCTACTTACTTCTATTTAACCTGCTTCTTCTGTCCTCCTCCCTTGTACCTACTTCTTAAGTCAGATATCATCAGCTCTGGGACACAATATAGAAAGAATTCACACTGGGCAGTGGTAGCACACACCTTTAATCCCAACAGTTGGGAGGCAGGGGAATGTGGATCTCTGTGAGTTCAAGTCCAGCCTGGACAATAGATCCAACCAGGGATAGAAAATCCTGTCTGGCCAAGCAGTGGTGGCGCGCACGGTTAATCCCAGCACTTGGGAGGCAGAGGCAGGCAAATTTCTGAGTTTGAGGCTAGCCTGGTCTATAGAGTGAGTTCTAGGACAGCCAGGGCTACACAGAGAAACCCTGTCTCGAAAAGAAAAAAAAAGATTTTAGAAAATTCTGTCTGAGGAAAAAGGAAGGAAGGAAGCAAGGAAGGAAGCAAGGAAGGAAATAAATTAATTCATATTTCTCAGAGGAGAGGTGCAAGGTGGACCCTCCATTGCAGGGCATTTAGACCTTCCCCGTGGAGTTAGGCTGCATTAACCGGAAGTAAATTTGTTTTCCCGGGGGACATTTGACAGTGTCTGGATACTTCATCATCGAGAGATAGCTAGGGAGATGGATGTTTTAGGAATATAGAGGGCAGAAATCAGGGACCCAGCCACACATGGGACAGCCCTGACAAAGAGTTATTCAGCGCAAGGCCATTAAAACTGATTGCAGTGCCCTAGTCAACATCCAGTTTTTTGGACTCTTCTGACCCCAGTGTTTTCAGATTTCAGATTCCATTAGAACATGACGTAGTAGCAGTGAGTTCCAGCACAAAAACACTATGTCATTGTTTCTTCCATAACTATGGTCAAGACTATTTAATTTCACCAACGTCTGAGATATCTATTTAGTAGTTGCCCAAATGGGCCCATTCCAACCAAGTTTTTACAGGGAACATACAGCCTACTTTCCATATCTTCCTAGAAGGATCATAGCACCAGGGATTCACAGAGGAATCTTGGTACATGGGAATATGGGCCTCCCAGCATAGAGCAGTAATGAGAGAGCAGAAAGAACATTCCAGAAATGGTCTGCAGAGTCTCACAGCGCAGCCCATTTGGGAGGCTTTTCTGACTTCTCAAAACTAGGACTTTAAGCTGTTTGGAAGGCAAAGGGAAAGCTGGAAAGACTGACAAGGTTTATACACTATTTATTCTCCTCTGATGGTAAAGTGAACTAAGCTATTTTCTCACCTCCACACTGAAATGGTAAAAGGCTCAGCAGAGAGTACCTGTCAGTGCCCCAGGGTAAAGTAAAGTGTGTAGTGTGCTTCCTCCTCTACACTCCAGTGCTGGTAGGTTCAGGCATCTGCTGGTGGTAGGTCCAGGCATCTGCTGGGCACCCTTTTCAGTGTGCTGAAACTACATGGAGCTCTGTCCCAGAAATTTTCCTGGAGTGACACACTGTACATTAAATGCAAAATGTGGGAAGCACCTTCCTGTCCCTAGGGAGAAGACATTGTGGACCGAATGAATAGTAATGAACATATGCTGTGGTCCACTCCCCACCCCCACCCCAGCAGCTGCTTTTCCTCCTGGCTATTTGGAGAATGTGATGCAGAGGCCCCGGAACAAGGAACATAGGGTTGGCAGAGAATTAGGAGCCAGTTCCCCAGGTGATGGTGAAACCGAGAGTGGCCTCTGCTGTGTGCGCTTTTCACTGTACTTGCTGAGGAACT